GGGAAAGCATGGCTCTGAGGCTGTATGTTTTCCCCAGAGCTATTTTTGTACCCCTCAGCCATCGACAACGCCATCAACTCATTAAGTCACAGCGTGGATATATGTATGATTTTTTTTCCAGTGGTAGCAAAGCTGCACAATAATATGTGATTATAAATATTATGTGTGCATACTGCATGCTGCTACAAGACACCTATGCATTTTCTTTTATGTGTGTCTTGTTTGTTAGTGTTGTATTGCATTACTTTAAGGATCCTATGTAGAGTAGGAGAAAATCTAAGGAGTTAGGCAGCAGTGAATGCAGAGCATATCATATTCTAGCAATAGAAAAGACATTCCCCATTTAAATCTCACTGGAGCAGAAATTAGGATGTTCATCTCAAAAAGCCAAGCAAACAGTTAACCCCTATTTTCTTCTACCAATTCTTTGTGTATCTCTCTTTCCTGTTCTCCTTTCCCCCATCAAAAATCCAACTTGGTCTTCTAGCCACTACTTTTATCAGCATCTAGATTTATTTTATGTTTAAGCCACTGTTTCTGAATTCGAAGGCTATTAGGCGGCACAACAACAGTCTTGTTATAGCTGATTGTCTCTTTCTTTGCAAGTGTGTTATAAGGGTACAAAAATAGAATTACAGCCATAATTTGTCATGAAGGTTCTTTCACTTGTGCATGAACAAGTGAAAGTTATCCACCCATATTCACTGGGATTGATGAGGTACACAACATCTGTTGTAGGGATTGTTCAGGTGGAGGAAACAAAGTTTTCTGAGCACCTTCAAGAACTATGTGAATACTGAGTATTAGTACCTGATGTTAGGTAAAGGTAAAGGTTTCCCCCATGCCATTACCTTCCTGCAGAAGTGGTACTTTTGCATGTTTTCAGACTGCTAGGTTGGCAGAAGCTGGGCCTAAAGCGGGAGCTCACCCCGCTCCCTGGATTCAAACCACCAACCTTTCAGTCAGCAAGTTCAGTGGTTTATGGTGGGAGAGGGGGCTGTAATTGTTGTTACTGTAGTCTAAATGCAATGCAAATAGGTGAGAAACTTGATTCCAGTCTTTCTCAATATCCTATGTACAGTAGAGTCTCGCTTATCCAACCTTCGCTTATCCAACATTCAGTTGTATCCGACGCTCTTATCCGATGCCCCCCTTTTCCTCCAGCATTTCCCTTTCAATTAGGAGCATCCCCAACGCTCTCTTCATTCCCAATAAATGAAAAAGACAAGACAAGGAGGAGGAGGGAGGAAAGGGGGAAAAGAGGCAGGACCGGAAGCGGAAGCATCCTCCCTCCTTCCCTCTGTGATTTCCACACTCCTCTTCCATATCCGGGCACTTCCTGCTGGGCCGCTCTAGCCCCGAGGCATTGCCTTGCCTTAACCCTTTGAGTCCCTGTTGTTAGTATTCTAGGTGTCTAGTGCCACATCAGATGTGTAACGGTAGGAGACTCCGTATTATCCGACATTTTTGTTTATCTGACATTCTGCCAGCCCGTTGATGTTGGATAAGCGTGATTGTACTGTATATACAGTTTCTGACAGATATACTTCATGCAGCCAATCTTGTAGTCCTTGGTCTATGAAGCACATGGTACAATGTAGTTTCTGGACAGTGAGTTAGCTATATTAGTCTGTTGCATCAAAAATTGCATCATATCTTACGGCATCCTAAACAATCAATCTTTCTTTGGCAAAAGCTTTCATGAACTGAAGTCTGTATTAACACATTCACTGATTAGCTTGCTAAAGATTATTTTTACAAGTGCTGTTAGGCTTACATGCCTATTGTTCTGAAAGTATATAATGCTATCTGAAGTGCTTTTTAGGTATTTTTATGCTAATGGTATTTCTCACTTGCACATTGGGCGCTTATGAGGTTGGAATCAGAAAACCAAGTTTTAAAAAATTGAAATTAGCTGGAGCAAGGTTTTGTACCCACACATTTCTTTTGTCCTGGTGGTATAACTAGTTTTGCTGGATTTCAAAACAAAATGAAACCTGCAAAGCCTGTTTACTGGGTTGGAGTGGAGTGGGAAGAGTGAACACAGGATAACCAGGCATCGCTCTTTTAAACTGCCTTCACTGAAAACGTATTGTTCCTTCCCACACAGGTCTCTTGTTTTTGTTTTTAATTTTATTCAACTAAATAATAAACATAACACATAGGAGATAAAATACATTAACAACTCACTACAAACAAAAACAACATAAAATGACATCCAGCATTTTTCTTGGCAGGTATAAACTTATATACTACTATGGACATTTACCTTTTGAATTTACCGTATAAAGATTCAGCCTTTCCCTTCTTACATTTCTACCAAAAATCAAATTTTACTTATTTTCAAACCAAGTTATTGTCAACACATGCTCTTTTTTATGCAGAAAGCCTTTAAAAGGTTCACAGTCCTTTAAAAAAGAAATAATTGTTTTCTCCCTAATTCAAACAAGTTAGTTTATCCATCTCGGGCAAGTCCACAAGTTTCAAAACTTTAGCTGATATTTCAGCATTCTTTGACTTTTGTGCAGATAACATTCTTGCAGCACTTGACATATACTGAAATGAATGTCATTTGAATAATAACTTTTTAAAAACTTGGAATGATATAGTCTGTATTTAAACCTGATAATATTTTGAACTTTTTTTGCACATCCACCGCATATGTTAACATATCCCTTCACATTGCCAACTTTCCAAGATATATTCAAAACATCTTTATACATTTTGATATAAGACAGTGGTTCCCAAACTTATTTGGCCTACCCCCTGGAAACCATTTTTTTAAAATATTCTCATCTTTCTTTTATGCTTTCACTGCCCCCTTACAGTTATTCATGGCCCCCAAATGCACCTGTGGCCATTATCCCCCCCACCCGATCGCTGCAGCGCCCACCAGGGGGCGGTGGCGCCCACTTTGGGAATCACTGATATAGGACAGTGAGTGTTATTGTCCTCTTTGTTTTCAGTCAATGTAAAGCTCCCCAAGTGGTCAAAGATATTTTGATGCCTAAGGTATTTCCTTTCCTTATTTCATGTTCATAGACTAATTGGATTGGTATGGGTGAATCACATTTCAACATCAAGGATGGAATTGTGTCATCCACAACATTTAAGGGAGCAGGTTAGTTCATACAACCTAAGACAGGTGACACGGTATACACAACTCCGTCATATAACAGAAGGGAACATGAAGGTTATTCAGGATGTCCAGCTAGAAGCCATCATGGCCGCTTCCCAGCATAGTCAGACCATTGTCTCACTGTGCCAAATGGAAGAGCTGGTCCTCTTTGAAGTTCAGATTCCATGAAGTCTAAAACCCACACTATATACCATAAAATATATGCTTCTATTATACTTTTTGTTCTATAAGTAGCTCTGTAGTTTTGAAAAGATCTCAAAGAAGACTAGAGACTTCCTCAGCAGTTAATTTTAGAGAATCTTGTTCTTCGGTTGTCTCTCTACCTGAGTGTTTCAATGTACAGTTTAGTTCTGCAGAGAGCCTACATTTCAGGACTAGATGGAAAAGTGACAGTACAGTGGTGAGGCTCAATAAGATGTCAGTTGTGTAATTGATATGCCAGTTCTGAATTATGCAGTGAGCCTAAGGCTGTGGAAACTGTCTTCCCTTGCTGTTCCACAGTAAGCTTTTGTCTTTTATTTAGGAGAGAACCTCATATTTCCAAACCTGTATTTGCTGGGGTTCACAAAGATATTAGCACAAGTGGGGAGATTTGTAGAGCAGAACTGGTGGAAGTAGAGACAAATAAAGCATCCCACATCCATTGAGTCTCCCCTGCAAAAGTCCCAGATTATGATATGAGGATATATAATTGAAGAATATTGCTGAATTGGAACAAGGCCGGGCTTGAGAATGCTTCATTGCTTTGCGTGAGATAGAGAAAGAAGGGCAGGATATAAATATGAATTAATCAATGTGCAAATAAAGAGGTGGAGGAGGATGACAAGGAATCAGAATCTTGCTCTGGATTGTCATTTCCTATTACTAGGATCATAGGAACCCAACTGGGGAACAGTAATTGCCAATGAGATTTAGCAAATGGGAGGAGACCCTTCCTGTCCACCAATTCTCCCCATTTTAATGTTATAGAGAAACATGGTTAGGAATATTATGCTTGACTTTCATCTGCAGTTCCACCACATGTGCCCTTGCAGTGAGGCTCCACAAATGGAATTTGTTTCAGTCTGCAAAATCCATTAAGGTAGAAGATCCATTAGAACAGAAGTCTTGTTGTATTCCAAGGCGGGAAGCACCTCTGTACTTAACCACCACACTCCAGTCCAATATAGATCAGCAAAACAGTTTATTGAATAATATATAAAAAGCAGTTCAGCAAAAATATTAAAAACATCTAAATTTAAATGTAAGAAATAGTCCACAAAATTCAAAGTACAGGAGTTGTATCAAAAACCAGAAATGCAGTAGTCAGGATACACAAGGCAGCTTAAAATTCAATACACAGAAATCAGGAACAATAAACCACTGAAGACATAAAACTAGAATTTCCTTATCTAGCTTGACTAGGACTTGACAAGAGATGTTGCTTCAAACTCCAACATTGACCAGACTGCTGAAAAATCCCTTTGGTCTCTCCAGTAAAGCTATGAAATCATGCAGCTCAGAGTTTGCGAAAACTAAGTTTGCCGTCTAACAGCTTATTAAACTCTTCACCTGGCAGTTCATCCTCTGAACTCACTTCCCTAGAGAAAGATTTCTCTGGGCCCCTCTCTGGAATGTGACTTTCACCTTCACTAACTGCAGGAGACACAGAATGCTCAATTTTAGGACTTAAAATCTAGTGCTGGCTCGCTGGCTCAGCAGGTCCCGAAATCCCATAATCCCCATCCTCATTATTAGACACAATCATTGGCTGAAATACAACAGTCATTGAAAAAATGTGAAAAATAAAATGTGTGTGTGCTTAATTCTCCCTTCCCCTCACATACTTTTTTCCTTTTGTTTTAATACTTATCTCTCTCAGGCTTCTGGGCATTTCTCTGGTTTGTTAGTTTTTGTTTCCTGGCTGATCAGTGGCGTGTTTCAAAGAGAGAAGACAACCCAATGAACGAAGGAGCAGATGCAGCTCGAGCGGCCATTGCATTCTCTTTTTTCTCCATCTTTACCTGGGTAAGTAAAGCAATCACTGTTTATTTTTATTTTATTTAAGTATTTATCACTGCTCTGCTTACCAGGACATTCAGAACCACATACTTTAAAAATGAATGCAACACATTGTATAATTTATGATAAATTCCAACACTGCATGCAATCCAGATCATCCATTGCAGGTTCTTCCATTTAGAAAGCCATCACATTGGTCCAAATAATCACTGTCTGGACTACAGGGGGGAAACCTTGACATTAGATGACAGAAAGTCAAAATCTTTAAGGCACCTACTAAAATGATAGAATAGAGGATGTGCATTTCAAGTTATTGAAGCCTAATCCATTTGCCCTAAAAATGTTCTTCAGGGAGATAGACAAAGGATATAAATTACAGCATATAAATAACATACATAATAATGGATCAGAATGTAAAATCAAATTGTACATTGCATATAGTTGATATGTACAGTTGGCACCCCACGTTTATAGGTTTGTCTTTTGCAGATTTAATTATTTACAAATTTGTTTCATATGTTCTCTCCAGGAAACACAAGGTCCTTCAGTGCAATTTTGTGCTTAACCTGCCAGAAGTGCTAGAGATCCTAAAACATCCTAGAGCAGTGGTTCTCAACCTGTGGGTCCCCAGATGTTTTGGCCTTCAACTCCCAGAAATCCTAACAGCTGGTAAACTGGCCAGGATTTCTGGGAGTTGTAGGCCAAAACACCTGGGGACCCACAGGTTGAGAACCACTGTCCTAGAGAGAGCCGTTCTCTAGGCATCTGTGGATCCTCCAGCATGATTCCATAGAATTGCAGTGGAGGACTTAGACACTCATACTGAAGTGTTTTTAAAATACACATTTCACCTCACTTTTGCAGCGGTGCTTTTCCCATAACCCCAGTGAATATAGAGGGTTGCCTACATTTCCTTAAAAGAAAAGGTCTGAAAACAGTGCCCTTAAATTATTTTAACATATGAAAGTTGAGCCTTCTTTTGATACTATCTATTATCAGTAAATATGACAACAAATTTTCAGGTCATCAGTATCCGCAATCTTTTTTCTTTAAGGAGTTATGTACAGGATGCATGGAAAGCAGCAGAGTCAGAATAGATAAAAGGGAATACAGGCAGTCCCCAAATTATGAATAAGATTGGTTTTGCAGGTTAGTTCTTAAGTTGAATTTGTATGTAAGTTGGAACAGGAACATTTTTAAGTGTAACTCCAGTTACATAGTTACATACATATACATACACACACATACATGTACAGATATATAAATACACCCACACACACACACACACGCCTTAGAAAGCATAGGGAAAAGTGAACACATCTGTGGTGTTTGTTTTGCTGTCTGTGCCCCCTTTTAGAAGATTTCACCTCATTTTGTCCCTGTGATAATTGGATTTTGGGGAAAAAACTGGCTTGTTGTGGAAATAAGAAATGGTGAAAAAGCTTATGCGGAGACACTTTTTTCCCATGATAACTCTTCCAAGAGTGAATTTCTTTCACTTCCTGTTGTCTCACCCATGTTTGTAACTATGAGTTTTTTGTAAGTTTGTAACTCGGAATGTGTGTACTGGTAAAAATGTACATTAAGGATAATGTTTCAATTACAATTTGTCTTGATGACTCCAGATTGCTTCTAAATTGGGAATGTGGGATCTGCACACATCACACAGTCCTAGGCACTTGAGAAGTGTCCGACGTGTGATCCAATACAACAGTTAGCACAGTGATCTTGTTTGCTGTGGACTCATCTTATGTGTTTCAAAAAAAACCAGAAACATTATTTGTATACCACCCTATCTCCCCAAAGGGAATCAGGCGGTTTCCAACATGTAAGGCAAACATTCAGTTGTCAGAAAGAAACTATACAGACAATTATATCAAGGTAAACACATTCAGCAATATAACACAAGCTAATTAAACACAACAGACAAATTAACAACAACTGAAAGCATCATAAAATACAAAAAAATCTGCTAAAATACACTAAAGATAAAAATATTAAAAACCAATCAGAGTAAGCCAATAATAGACCCCTCTGAACAAATCTTGCCTTCCAAAAAACCCTGCATTCAATTTCCTTTAGGGTCATCCTAAAGCAGAAATGAGTTGAAAGCACACAAAACAACAAGGTTCTCAACCTGTGGGTGCTGTTACGCTCCCAACCAGCTTTTGGGCTATTGTAGGCATCTTTTTTGCCAATTTAGGAACAGAATGCTGTATAAGATAGAGTTTAGTCTAATCCCACACATTTCTTACAAAATTGGATTTTTCAGAATAATATATAGAGCAGATAAAAATGTATCTAAGGATGTGTCAGTAGCGAGGGATGGAAACATTAATGTGCCCTCTTCCGGCAAGTACCTGCAAGTAGCAAAAATTAACAGCAACCTGACTTCCCAGAGAAACTCTCTGCCAGACAATCGGGAGTTAGAAATCCTTGCTGATTTACAGTCAGATACCCAGAAATCTACCAGTGGATCCTGATCTAACTTTACCAGTCTCCTGCTATATGAATATCGGAATCCGTATGAAATTAATGTCACCTAACATGGGAAGCAGTAACCAGGTATTGTTCATTTGTAAATATCAATTTACATTTATGCCTTTACATTTAAAAATGCCAACTGTAAAGATGCAAAGATGAGCCTCAGTAGAAACCATTTAGTGCAAAAATTGCTCAGGATGGCTAAGAATAGGAACCTAGACCCAACCTTCATAGGCTAAACATCCTCAGCATAACTTTGTGGTTGTAGCAGACGTTCACATCATAGGAACCTTTCCTTGCTGTAGTCCACAAATTTTGGACAGACCCAGATGGGTGTGCACTTTAATAAAAATACAGCAGTTGTTTCTTTGCCTTTTTAGACATGTTTCTTTTAATTGACTCTTAGTGGCATTTCCTCTATTCCAGTTGTCCTCAATTTTTTTGCCTTGTTATACAGTAGAGTCTCGCTTATCCAACCTTCGCTCAACCAACATTCTGTATTATCCAATGCAGTCTGCCTTCTGCAGCTGTTTCAATACATTGTGATGTTTTGGTGCTAAATTCGTAAATACAGTAATTAGTACATAATATTACCATGTATTGAACTGCTTTTCCTGTCAATTTGTTGTAATGTAATTTGATATTTAATAGACTTTTCCTTAATTCCTCCTTATTATCCACCATTTTTGCTTATCCAACGTTCTGCTGGCCCATTTATGTTGGATAAGCGAGACTCTACTGTACATGCAAGCCTACTTATTTCATTCCTTGCTTCTCCCAATGCTGACAGATATTGTGTGCTTGACCCCAGCGAAGACTGGTGACTCTCAACTGTGGAAATAATTCTGAAAATGGAATTGAATATCCTTCCCCCTTTAATTCCATAAGATCACAGGGCCCTGTATAAATTTTTCACGTAGAAACACTGTTTTCTAATGCACCTTGTTCCATCCTGTTCTCTCCCTACAGGCCTCCCTGGCATTTCTGGGCTTTCGGAGACTTGGAGAAATTACTTTTCAGGAAGAATACAACACACTGTTTCCTACCTCTCCGCCCGTGCTCCCCTAACCCCATTTCCATAAAAGTGTCAAATATGAGGGTGGAAATATTTGTGGTGAGGCTATTTCCAACTCCTGAGCTCAGGAGCAGGAAGAAAGATGAGAGGGAAAGAGGAATAAAATATAGGATGTTTGTGCAGCTGATGTGGAGAGGAGAAAGACAATGCCAGAATTCCTTGGAGTTTGGAACAATGCTTGTTCCTCTATCCTGTAGCTCCAAATAGCTGAAAACATAATGTGTACTGTTCCTCTCATCTTCCAGTTCTTTGTTACCTCTGTCCCTCTTTTGCAAACTAACTGGGAGATAACAATGATGTGCCTTTCTCGGAAGCTTGATGCAGTCTTAATACGTTTAACCACAAGTCATTGCCTAATAGTATTTTTCTAACTTCTGTTTGGTGTTGTCTTTTCTTGTCTTCCTTTTCCTTGGCACAATCCATGATGCTGGAAGGTAGCATTAAGACTTATGACCACTGAGCCTCTTTCTTTGTGCTGGTCTCACCAAAGAGCATTATGCAAACAACCGTTTATAGCATTGCCTTGATCAATTTTGTGTGTGGAAAGGGCCAGTCTGTTGTGTCTCCCTATTTGCCACCTTCTGTAGCCACCATGTGTTGCTATACATGTGCCTGGAAAAAGCATGTTTATTTTTATCTCAGGAACTTCATAACTCAGCCCAGTACTGGATATTGTTGGTTGCACTGTGTGGCACTTACGGCACCAATCTTTCAGTCAATCCTGCCTACCAGCCATATCAATGGGGAGAATTTACTTATTTATTTACTATATTTTTACCCTGCTCTTCTCACCCTGAGGAGGACTCAGAGCAGCTTACAGTTTGACCACTTCAGTGCCACACTGCAAATACACAGTGTATAAAACAACATATTAAATAATAAACAGATAAGCATATAAATACACTGAAACTGTGGTTTTCAACCTGTGGGTCCCCAGGTGTTTTGGCCTACAACTCCCAGAAATCCCAGTGAGATTACCAGGTGTTTGGATTTCTGGGAATTGAAGGCCATAACATCTGGAAATCCACAGATTGAGGAGAACTGGTTAAGACTGTTTAAAAACATTGCCCTAAACCCTCACACAAGCTGAAGCCTTTGGCATGTGTGGATTGTGGGGCTTGACTATGCTGTACATCAGAAATAGGTGCCATGTTGAGTGTGTTGAACTGGAATGCACACACTGCCACTTTCTCACTTCCACCACCCTTTTTCTTAAGCAGGTGAAAATACTAGATGCTGAAGACCAAGCCTTCCACACAAAGGTGTATATTTGAAATATTCTTCCCAGGTGTCTGCGCTCACACTGTTGCACCTTTCTTGAAATTGTGTTCTCTTCAGGCTGTGCCAAAGCTTCCTGCTGTTTGAAATACATTTGCGTTCATAATTCCAGTTATGTCTCACACACTAATGTATGTCTTGTGCACTAACTGCTACTAACCCGGCTTCTGTTTGTTTCTCCTTGATATGTGCCCCTTTCTTTTTCCTATGTCTTTCTCCTTCCCATTTCCTCACTTTTCCTACACTGCCGCATCCCCCCCCCCCCCTTTAAAGGTCGGCCAGGCATTTCTGGCATTCCAGCGATTCCAACTTGGAGCCGATTCAGCCCTCTTCTCCCAGGACTACACGGACCCGAGCCAGGAGGCTGGCATGCCTTATGCACCCTACACAAATGAGGCTGACACTACAGATAGCATGGGGACGTACCAGCAGCCCCCTTCGGTAGATGCTTTTGATGCTGATACACAGGGCTACCAGGCACAGGACTACTGAGAGGCGGTGGAGCCCTCTCCCCTCCCCTCCTCCTTTCCCCTCCACCCTCTCCCCTCTGCCACCAACACGCCAAGGTGGAAAACAGACACGTATGTATGTACCGGAGCAGCAGGTGGCTCTCAGCCACTTCTCCAGCCTTCTGGGGTCTCTGTGTTTCTTTATTTCCTGGCTTTTTTAAAAAGCAGAAACACCTAACACCTCCTCCCTCTTCTGAACTTTCCACCAAAATCAAAGGGTTGTATGGGTTTTTTTCCTGCAGTAATAGAATTTGTTATCTCTCTCTGTCTGGAAAGCTGCTGGGTAAGGATCTAGTTCACCCTTTCCATCGGGGGAAGAGGGAAAGGACCTCAAGATAGTGTTACTGGGGAGGCACATCAGATGAGGGGAGGACTGGGTGAGAAGTAGCCAGCCTGGGCAGTAATGGGGAGGGAGAATAAGATAGATAGGTGTCTAAATCTGTGAGCAAGGGTTGAAAGTGTGTGTGTGAGCAAGAAAGGGCGAGTGAATGGTGCAAATGGCAGCAGAACGGTGTTGAGAATGGATTTTGAATGAGTTTTACTCCTCCATTGAGATCATGAGCAGATGGTTTTCAAAATCCCAAAGGGAAATTGTTCTGGTTTATTTTCAGGAATATTTTGCCAATGCTAAGAGCATGGTAGTTGAGGTTTAATTTGTTTAATTGTTTCCAGTTTAAATTGAGCCTCATAGGAATTCAGTTGGTCAATATGCCTGCAGTTCTCTTAATTCAATGAGTCTTCTATAGCTAGTTCTCTTATCCTTTGCCTCCCAAAGAGCACTATCATTGGACATTAACCACATTGGCTGTTCATCACAACTGTTTGCCGTTGCTGGGTGCTTACTTTTGGAGGGTCCAATCAGCGCCCACCTGCAGAATATTACATGATGATCTGTTGTTCCATAATCCTTTACCAAGCAATGCTGCTGTGGGCTGCTGGGCATTTGTGTTCAACAACATCTGGAAAGTCACAGGCTTTCCAGTCCTAAATTACCATGTTGGCTTGCCTTGCAGTGGCACCCATAGTGGAAACAATCTACATGATGAATTTCAGTGCAAAGAAGCAAGAATTTATAAGGCTAGCTTGCAGAGATATGCCATTTATCATTGTGGCTACAATGGTCCTTCTCTATACTAGATAAATGTTCTGGCTGTTGTAGATTTAAGCAGGAAGACACTTTAAACTCTTGTGCCAAACCATCTGTTACCCCCACTGTTTGTATGCTCAAGAATAACAAAGCAGAATTTCCACACTGAATGTTTTTCTATGGTGGGAGAACAACAATTTGTTGTATCTGCCAGCTAGGCTGAACTCAGAAATCAGCTGAAAGATGCATGGAGTTCAGTGCCAACACAGCTTGAAACAAGGATATTATATGACACTGTGAAACGTTTAGCTTGTGTCTGGATTAATATCTACCATCAGGGAAGATATACAACTAGGAACAGACACTTAATACCCGCTCAAGCACTACAGACTCCTCAGTGGAATTAACAAACATGAGTTCTTCCCACATTAATTATTTCTTAATAGAAAGTGATCTACTCCTGGTTGTATTGTTGTACCTCAATGAAAAACAGTTGCAAAGAGTTAGTTTCAAAAGATTACGGTAGATGAGGTGCTGGTGTCATCATCTAAAAGGGAAAGGTTTCCCTTGACATTAAGTCTAGTGGTGTCCGACTCTGGGGGGTGGTTCTCATCTCCATTTCTAAGCTGAAGAGCCAGCATTGTCCGTAGACACTTCCAAAGTCATATGGCCAGCATGACTGATGGTGTGCTGTTATCTTCCCGCCAGAGTGGTACCTATTGATCTATTCACATTTGCACATTTTTGAACTACTAGGATGGCAGAAGCTGCGGCTAACAGTGGGAGCTCACCCCGCTCCCTAAATTCGAACCACCGACCTTTTGGTCAGCAAATTCAGTAGCTCAGAGTTTAACCTGCTGTGCCACTAGGGATCATCATCTATCATTCCCCAATAGTTTGTTAATTCATTAAGTTGTATAATTCTCTCCTTGAAGAAAGTCCACCATACTTGATTTAACAAGCCTAATTGACATGTAACTTATTAAAAAGTATAGAAATAATAATTACAGGGTCAGAGCAACAGCAGGATCCAATAGATTACTCAGCACTAAACATACACTGATAGAGTTCAGTCTTAAGACATTAGGCTGTTTCCAGACATTACCGTATACTTCTCTTCAAAGAAATCCAAAAGTGTGTGTATCTTTGGATTGCTGGTAAGATCCGGCTTTTTAACACTCCCACAATCTTCTTAATGTATGTATGGTTCGACCTTTCTGACATTATAACAATATATTAAACTTAGCCCCTTTTTAAAAAAGAATACTTGTTTTGAAATGTAACTAGAGAGATGTTGCAATTGAAGTAAGATAACTTTGGGCTGCTGTTTCCCTTGGCTACTACCAGGAAAAAGGAAGGCTAAAAAGGCAAGAGACAAAGCATGGATTCTTCATTAATTGACTAGATGCCCTTTAATTTCCGTTATAGTTTTTAAAAAGAGGACCATAGGAATATCTTGGTCAAGCATGCGCATACTTTGGCCCTCCAGGTGTTTTGGACTTCAGCTCCCACCATTCCTAACAGCCAGTAGGTGGGAGTTGAAGTCCAAAACACCTGGAGGGCCAAAGTTTGTCCATATCTGATCTAGGTAATAAATTACTATAGTGGTGCTGAGTCTTTCCCACCTGTGTGGTGTGCATGCTGATTGTGAATGTGTGTTCTGCTGCCTATGAATCCTTTCTGTTGACATTTTTTATGTGTAGAGATTGTAGCTTGGAAAAGTTATATTTTGGGGATGAGGGGATGATAATGCTTCCGGAATCTCCCAGCCTGCATAGATATTGGTGATGTTGGTTGGTAGATCCTGTAAAATATAGTCCAGAAAGAAAAAGAAAGATTATTTTTTACTCTAAAGCCTAACACTGTGTGGTTAGAATCTAGCAGGGAGAGAGAGGAGGGATACGGCAGTCCATTGCTCATGAAGCACAATCAGGAACTAAGCCCCTTGCTTTATGGTCCCAAATGAAAGCAATATTATATATGGCTTGGGTGGGTGGGGGGATGACTATTGTCTTCATCCACAAGCTTTTCTTCTATTGGGGTGGCCTAATATTTAGGCTTGTAGTGGGTGGGGGGTTATTTTGATGATGGGATTCTTCATAACAGGTGAAGGAGAGGTCCTTCCTTTTCTTCTCTCCCCTGGAGGGAAAGGGGGAACTATGGAATTGGAGGGTTGGGAGGGTGAAAAGTCCAGTGTCGGTATGGTTTTGCTGATGTCAATTGCATGCTTTCATGTGGGGGTGGGAGGGGGGATTTTCCATCCCACAACATCTGCTCTGTGTAAAGCTTGAAACAGGGTTTTTGCCTTGAGGGACAAGCCAAACCTGTATTCAAATGAATTCTGCTATGGGGATTGTTTTTACACCCGTTTCCCTGTTACATATGAATAAATTTAAAAGTTCAGAGAGGAGTACTTTCCTCAAATGCATACAGTACCCTTTTACAAAACTCAGAAAAACATGCACATAAACACACACTTGTAGATGGAACATAAAAGGGTAATGAGCCATAACTCAACAGAATTACATGAAAGGCCATTGATTACACACTGAATCTGTGTATTGGATTGCAGCCACTACTGTCATTGGAGAAAATACTTTATTTAAAAGTGAAACATTCTGCTAATGGCCTATTGAGCCATTGCTTTTTTCTTGGTCCTCATAAAGAATTCCATGATGATCTCCAGCTTGTGTTCTGAGATTGGAAGAGTTTCTATTTTGTCTAAGAATAGCAAAAATAATAATTCTTGGTACATCCACACTTATGGATTAATTCTAGAAAGGGGATGTCTCTATACCAGGATACCTATCCAATAACACTGACAATCACGTAGCAAGAATCCTTGGCCTTCCAGTATTGGGCTCAACTTTCCATGAATAAAGGAGGCATCTGGCTATCCAGAAGCAATACTACTGTGGTTTCGTCTTTCCACTCTGTGAAGCCACAGTGAAGTAGTGCTTCACCTAATTATATGATAGTATAAACCACTTTATATTTTATAGTGCAGTTCAATTACACCACTGTTCCCTTTAAGTAATGTAAAATGTGAAGACCAGGGGAGCATCGTAATGAAAAGTGGACATGTTCCAGGGAAATGCAGGCAAGCATGGCTCCAGCACATTTTGATCCACATACCTACTTTTCACACTTGTGTTCCCATATGGGAAACAATGGTGAAAATGTGGTTTCGGTGTCAAATGAGGAGTTTCCTAGTGGAGTTAAAGTCTTTACTGTGCTCTCAAGTATCACATGGTGTTGCTTCAGCATTAAGTGCAACCTCCAAGTTTAAATTACTTGGGACAGTGAGGACGCAGGCCTTGTACACAGACAGAAATGTTGCCAAATATAGCCACCAGCATGTCGTCTATCTCCCAGTCAAACAATACAGTCAATGAACAGCTAGCTAGCCAACTAAATAGCCAAACAAAGACCACCAGCCAAAGAAATGTATTTGCTAGGTATCTGAACTCCTAGGCAAGTCACTGGCTATATGTAGTTGAACATTAGGGTGATAGATCTGAACATGCACCAGTATTCTTAAGTATACCACAAAAATGAGGGGACAGTCTGATTGCATACTCACAAGATCTAGAGAGGTCTCACTAAGGCAAAATCAACTGAATTAAGAGTGCAGGTGGACAAAGTTATTGTCGCAGTTTTGTTCCGCTTCCCACAACAGGAACATGATGTCCCCATTGAGCTCTAGATATGAATTTCTCATTACATTCTCATTCTCTTTATCTATTATGGTAATAAATGTGAGAGTCTCAGTATTCGGTACTTCCAGTTTCATTGGCAATCAGAAGCACACAGATGCCAGAACAGATAGGCAGGTCTCCTTATGAATCTAAATGAATACGTTTGAGGCTTAATAAATCACAGGTCAGTCTTTACAGTTTTCCAACTTTTGGGGCAACATCACTTGAGGTCTGGCTGCCCGGGTATAATATATCATTATACTATATTATATATGAAGGTGTATAATATGAAGCTGTGCACATACGTGTTCATACATATGTGACAATGAAAGGGTGGCCCGCTGCATACAAAATCCCCCCCCCCCCCCAAACAATCTCTGATTATTCCAAGCTCCACCCCAACGGATCCATTCTGTCCTCTCCAGTATGTTTCCCTCAACATAAGCCCTGCCATCTCGGCACCTGTGTTTACGATGTCCTGTATACTTGTGGTTTAAAACAAAAAGTGAAGGTGGTAACTACTGGTGTGTCTTATCAATAAAGTTATTACATTCAAAAATTGTAAAGGCAGAGCTACGAGTTTTTCTTTTTAAAAAATCTTAACCTGTATTTTAAAAAGGTTCAAACCTTGCACATAATTATGTCATGCAAGAGTTAACACAGATGAAACACCTTGATGTGCAAATGTGAGTAGATCAATAGGTACCACCTTGGTGGGAAGGTAAAAAGGTACCCATACAGATATGCAGGCAACACAGTCTGAAATGTCTGTGGACAACAGGCTCCTTGGCATGGAAAAATGGAGCAAGAGCACCTCCCCATGGCCGGAAGTTGAGCATCACCTCCTGACGCCGGAGATGGAAAAAGGGGATTATTATTATTATTATTATTATTATTATTGATGTTTTTCCTGTGTAAATAAAAATGGGTCATCCACTTTTCATTGCCACATCCTGGTCTTATAATAATACATTTTGTTTATATTCTGCTTTATCTCCCCGGAGGGACTCGGAGTGGATTACAATATACACGAGGCAAATATTCAATGCCTTTTAAACACAGTGAACAACGACATACAACACAGACAAAGGTAAAGGCCTTCCACTTTTTCCATCTCTGGCATCAGGAGGTGATGCTTAACTTCCAGCCATGGGGAGGTGCTCTTGTTCCATTTTTCCATACCGAATAACCTGTTGTCCACAGACATCTCAGATTGTGTTGCCTGCATATCTACATGGGGCACTTACCTCCCTGCCAAGGCTGTACCAATTGATCTAGTCATTGCATGCTTTTGAACTGGTAAGTTGGCAGAAGCTAGAGCTGACAGTCGGGAGCTCACCTCGACTTGCAGCTTCGAACTACCAATCTTCCAGTCACCAGATTTCCAGCAGCTAGCAATTTAACCCACTGTTCTAGAGTTGAAAAAAGAATACCTGTCACCCTTAGAAAATAGATGTAGCATATTTTTAGTGGCGTGAGCTCAGCTGAAAAGTGTATTGACTTCATATAGTCCAAACACACATTTTTTTCCCCTCTTCATTGCTGAGCTGTAGTTAAAAGTGAGCTGGACGGCACATGCAGAATCTTATAATATTGCATTGATAGACTGGCACTCCATGATGCCATCAACCCGTCTGGTTCACAAAGTGGTGTTACATTTAAAAAACAACTCAATAGCCCAATCCTGATTTTCAAGTCAAATAATGATAGTCCTGGAGAAGAGTATCACTGCTGAACTCTCTTGCCAACCCAGTTCATCTCAGTGGCTATGGAGGCCCCAGTGGTGCAATGAGTTAAGCCTATGTGCTGGCAGGGCTGCTGACCGAAAGGTCGGTGGTTCGAATCCAGGGAGCAGGGTAAGCTCCCATCTGTCAGCTCCAGCTTGAGTCCCTGGTGGCGCAATGAGTTAAACCCTGGTGCTGGCAGGGCTGCTGACCAAAAGGTCAGTGGTTTGAATCCAGGGAATGTGGTGAGCTCCCATCTGTCAGCTCCAACTGGAGCCCCCGGTGGCACAATGGGTTAAACCCTTGTGCAGGACTGAAGACTGACAGGTTGAAGGTTTGAATCCGGGATGAGCTCCCTCTGTCAGCTCCAGCTCCCCATGCGAGGAAATGAGAAAAGCTTCCCACAAGGATGGTAAAACATCAAAAAACATCTGGGCATTCCCTGGGCAGCATCCTTGCAGATTCTCTCACACCAGAAGCGACTTGCAGATTCTCAAGTTGTTCCTGACATTAAAAAAAAAGCTCCAGCTTCTCATGCAAGGACATGATATAAATCTCCCACAAGGATGATAAAACATCAAAAAACATCTGGGCACCCCCTGGGCAACGTCCTTGCAGACAGCCAATTCTTTCAAACCAGAAGCGACTTGCAGTTTCTCAAGTCGCTCCTGACACACACAAAAAACCTCAGTGGCTGCATCTACACTATAGAATTAATGCTGTTTGACACCACTTTAACTTCCCTGGCTCAGTGCTATGAAATCATGGAAGGTGTAGTTAATTGAGGCACCAGTGCTCTTTGGCAGAGGAGGGTGATGACCTTGTAAAACGACAACTCTCAGGAATCCATAGTATTGAGCCATGACAATTAAAGTAGTGTCAGGCTCAATTAATTCTACAGTAATGATAGACTCAGTGTTTCCCTTGTTGGAGGGGTGATATCAAAATAAATGAGCATATTCTATACACCCATCTCTTTCATTTGTATCTTGACTTTCTCCCAGAATGGGACTCGAGGCTTTTGGATGGCAGTAAATGCCAATAAAGGAGATAGTTTAGAACTGGCATAGGCAAACTTTGGCCCTCTAGGTGTTTTGGACTTCAACTCCCACAATTCCTAACAACCGGCTGTTAGGAATTGTGGGAGTTGAAGTCCAAAACACCTAGAGGGCCAAAGTTTGCCCATCCCTGGTTTAGCACATGCAAATTAAATCACTAAATGATAAAATGTGTTTTTGATACCACATTTTTAATGTTTTCATTGCTTTTATAACTGTTTTAACTGTATTTTTATAATTGCTATGACATCGAATATAATTGCTATGGCATCGAATTTTATAATTGCTATGGCTGCCGACTGTGAACCACCTTGAGTCCTGAGAAAGGTGGCATACAAATGCGGTAAATAAATAAATAAATAAATAAAATTAAAGCAATTAAATCCCATGTTAAAATAAGGACTAAATACATAGCACCAACAAAGGCTATTGTTGGAAATCAGTTTCCAAAGGTTTTATGGCAAAAGGCTCTTAATGAGACATGCCGCATTATCACGGGGTGTCTGCGCCCTACACCACTGGAGAAATTACACTGTTTAGCCGGTATTGCACCACCTGACATCCGCCGGAAAGTAGAAGCCATTAGTAAAAGGACCAAGGTAGTGACATCTCCAGCTCATCCCCTGTTTGGGTATCAGCCAGCATGTCAACGACTTAAATCAAGAAATAGTTTTCTATGATCTGCAGAGACACTCGCTGGAACAGCTCAACAAGCGAGAGTCCAAAAGTGGCAGGCTCAAACCCAGAACCTCAATCAATGGCTGATACCAAATGAGAGATTCCCCGCTGGGCACATAGAAAACTGGGCAACTTGGAAGGCGCTGGACTGACGGCACTCTGGCACCACGAGAGCCAGAGCCAACCTTAAGAAATGGGGCTACAAAGTGGAATCCACGACATGCGAGTGTGAAGAAGAGCAAACTACAGGCCACCTGCTGCGATGCATCCTGAGCCCTGCCACGTGCACAATGGAGGACCTTCTTATAGAAATACCAGAAGCACTCCAAATGGCCAGCTACTGGTAAAAGGACATTTAATCAACTACCAAGCTTGCAAACTTTGTGTTTTGTTTGTTTGTTTGTTAAAAATGCAATACAACTGTTTGGCTTGCTCCTGACACAATTAAATAAATAAATAAATAAATGGGAAAAGGTATAACCTGCTATTGAAAGGGCAACCATAATAGGGAGGAAATTCCAAAATGTAGGAGCAGGCAGAGAGGGAAACTTCTGTGATCTCCCACAAACTGGAATGGAAACAAAGGATGCAGCTACACTGCAGAATTAATGCAGTTTGGCACCACTTTAACTGTAATTGCTGAATTCAACACTTATCTAAGATCCATTCATTCAATAGGGTCTACTCTAGCGGGGGATAACGGTAGGGTTCAGATCATGAATGGGATTCCTATAGTTCTCCAGATGCTGAAGTCCAAAACACCTACAAGAGCAGAGATGAGAAGTTGACAGCGTGCAGTACCTCCTTCTGTCCGCTAGGATGCGCGAAGGCGGAGTTAAACTCAAGCGGAAATGTCGTTCCGAGGGGGCGTGGTCGCCTGGCGGACGCTCTGGCTGCTTGCTGCTCTCCTCTCTCTTATCCGGAGAAAGGCGGAGGATGTCGCTCCTGCTTAAAGATGGCGGCCGCGAGGAGGAGTCTCTTGCAGAGTGTAAGTAGCCGGACCATACCATTGGGACCCGGGAAGAGGGGTGGAGAAAAGACTATACCACTTTCTGATTCGAAGGGAAAGATTTCTGTGTGTGCTTGAGAGAGTTTCCATTATTTTCTGGAGAAAGTTCAGTCCCTTTGTGGGACTATATACGGTGGGAACTTCCAGGATTCAGTAGCGTTGAGCCATGGCAGTTAAAGTGATGTCAAACTGCATTAATTCGACAATGTAGACAGCCACAGACTAGCAATAGCGTGCAAAGGCCTTGGTAACATCATAGGCTTTTAGTTCAATGAGGAACTGGCTGGGATACCTCAATATTCTTGGCTATTGCCAGGATAATTAATTACAAGCTATTGCCAGGATAATTAATAATTATAGCTGTGTGAAGGGCCTGGATCTATACTTCCATAGTCCAGTTTCTGAATCCAAATTATCTGCTTTGAACCATGCTGGACCACTCTTCACAACCACCATGTCAGACTATACAGAGAAGTCATTGAAATCCACAAGCATGTGGAAAATTTCAACAGAAAGGAGGAAAGCATGAAAATGAACACAATCTGGCTACCAGTATTAAAAAAAACCTCTAAAATTAGGACAACAAATAAAGAACAGCACTAAAAAAGGAAATTCCAGACAAGAAACAATCAGGGCCAGCTAATCACCTCCCAGCAAGGGATTCCCCCAGGCAGGAAGCAGCCAAGTCTTGAAGCTGCAAGGCTATTCAGTGCTAATCAGTATGATCAATTGCAGCATTTACACTTACCTCAAGCAGACAAGTGTGAATGTTGCAAATGGCCACCTTGATTTGTATTGAATGGACTTGTAGCTTCAAAACCTAGCTGCTTCCTGCCTTGTGGAATCCTTTGTTGGGATATGTTAGCTGGCTTTTTTAGTGTTGCTTTTTATTTACTGTCCTGATTTTAGAGTTTTTTTTTAATATACTAGTAGCCAGACTTTATTCGTTTTAATTGTTTCCTCTGGTGGCGCAGGACTGAAGCAACCCCTGTGCCGGCAGGACTGAAGACCGACAGGTCGCAGATTCGAATCCGGGGAAAGCGCAGATGAGCTTCCTCTATCAGCTCGAGCTCCTCATGCGGGTACATGAGAGAAACCTCCCACAAGGATGGTAAAAACATCAAAACATCCGGACGTCCCCTGAGCAACGTCCTTGCAGACGGATAATTCTCTCACACCAGAAGCGACTTGTAGTTTCTCAAGTTGTTCCTAACACGACAAAAAAAAAAAGGTTTCCTCCTTTCTGCTGAAATTGTCCACATGGCTGTGGGTTTCAACAGCTTCTTTGAGGACGGCATATAAATGCCGTAAATAAATAAATAAATAAATAAATAAATAATCTGATATGATAGTTATTAGAGAAGGCTAAAGTTCTTTCTCCCACCCTGGACATTCCACAGATATATAAACCTTGCTTGCCTAGTTTCTAACAGGCCTCACAACCTCTGAGGATGCCTGCCATAGATGTGGGTGAAAACCATGAAAATGAACAAAATCTGGCTCTAAAATCAGGACAGTAAATAAAAAGCAACACTCAAAAAGCAGGGGAATTCCAGACAAGAGTCAATCAGGGCCAGCTAACACCTCCCAACAAAGGATTCCCCAAGGCAGGAAGCAGCCAGGTTTTGAAGCTGCAAGGCCATTCAATATTAATCAAGGTAGCCATTTGCAACATTCACACTTGCCTCAAGCAGATACGAGTTCTTTCTCCCACCCTGGACATTCCTGATATATAAATCCCACTTGCCTTGTTTCCAACAATCTCACAACCTCCGAGGACGCCTGCCATAGATGTGGGTGAAATGTCAGGAGAGAATGCTTCTGGAACATGGCCATACAGCCCCGAAAACTCACAGCAACCCAATGATTCCAACCATGAAAGCCTTCGACAACACAATACCCAATCATAATACTCTGACACCACTTTAGCTACCACAGTTCCATGTGATAGAATCTCAGAATTCTGTAGGATGCAATTACACTGGTATCAAATATCAAAGTAGTGTAATTATATAGCATGAAAGAGACCTCAATCAAAATGTATCAGCTAATTTCCTACACTGCCCTGATGCAAAGGAGGATGTTCCAAATGGTTTACCATCATTGACTCTTCTACTTTTGTTGGGAGTTTATTGGGGTTTCTTTTTTGTTTTGTTACCCAGGAGCAGCTGTCAAGTTGGACAGATGACTTGCCTCTTTGTCAACTGTCGGGTGTGGGTTCAGCTCCTAATCGTTCCTATGCTGCAGATGGAAAGGGGACAGAAATCCACCCCTTAGAGGATAATTGGTTGAAATTCAGGTGAGAGGTCTGTGAATATGAAAGGACAGTGGGTTGTTGTAGGTTTTTCGGGCTGTACAGCCATGTTCTAGAAGCATTCTCTCCTGACGTTTCGCCTGCATCTGCGGCAGGCATCTTCAAGAGAGAATGCTTCTAGAACATGGCCATACAGCCAGAAAAACCTACAACAACCCAGTGATTCTGTCCATGAAAGCCTTTGACAATACATATGAAAGGACAGTTTCAGGACAGTGCTCTTCTATTACTTTAATCTGGTAATACTTTTGTGCTAGCTTGCTACTCTTGGTTCACACAATATATGTCACTCTCTAAACCTGCCTTTGCTATCTTTTTCCTCCTTTGGCAGAAGCGAAAACAACTGCTACCTATATGGAGTCTTCAACGGTTATGATGGCAACCGGATTACTAATTTTGTGGGAGAAAGGCTCTCTGCAGAGCTCCTGTTGGGCCAGCTGAATGCAGATCATGATGATGCTGACGTGCGTAGAATCCTGCTGCAGGTAACAGCTCTCTTTTGGAAGGCATCATGAACAAATCTGCACTCCCTCCCTTTTTTTAAAACTTCGGAATGGGAACTTTTGGGTGGATGTGGAAGAAATAATGGGGGAGTATCGTAGTCTGTAAGGCTGTCATAGTAGACCGGAATGTGGTGGAATCTTTTTCTAGGGGGTTTTAAAGCAGAGGCTAGATGGACATCTAACAGAAGTGCTTTGATTGTATGTTCCTGCATGGCAGGAGGTTGGACCAAATGGGCCTTGTGTTCTCTATGGATGCAGTGGAAAAGATTTGCACTCTCAAAAAACTCACACTCTAAAACAGGGCTCCTCAAATTTCTTAAACAGAGGGCCAGGTCACACTTCCTCAAAGTGATGGAGGTCCGGATTAAAATTTGAAAAAAAAGAAAAAAGAATGAATTCCTATGCGCACTGCACATATTTTATTTGTAGTGCAAAAAACACTTAAAAACAATACAATAATTAAAATGAACAATTTTAACAAATATAAACTTATTAGTATTTCAATGGGAAGTGTGGTCATGCTTTTGGCTGATGAGATAGGTTTGTTGTTGTTATGTGCTTTCAAGTTGTTTCAGACTTAGGTTGACCCTGAGCAAGGGCCGGGTAAATGACCTTGGAGGGCCGTATCTGGCCCCTGGGCCTTAGTTTGAGGACCCTTGCTCTAAAATAATCTTGGTGATTAAATTCCCTTTAGCCTTTGGTGATATGAGTACTGGGGAATACACGTGGTGTTAAAATAGTGTGAAGGAAGACATTTGGGTTATGCACCGTCATGTAGACTGCTTTTGTGCTTCTCAAATGAGACACAGCTGAGAGATCCAGTCATGAACAAACCCAGTGCAGATGTCACAAATTCAAATCTGGCATCCTTTTGAATTTTTCTTTCATGCCAGGAGTGACTTGAGAAACTGCAAGTCGCTTCTGGTGTGAGAGAATTGGCTGTCTGCAAGGATGTTGCCCAGGGAACGCCTGGGTGTCTTTGATATTTTACCATCCTTGTGGGAGGCTTCTCTCATGTCCCCGTATGGGTAGCTGGAGCTGACAGAGGGAGCTCAACTCGCTCTCTCTGGATTTGAACTGCTGACCAGCAGTCAGCAGTCCTGCCAGCACAAGGGTTTGAGTCCCCCTCGGGATGAGAAAAGCGGCATACAAATACTGTAAGTAAGTAAAGTAAAGTAAAGTAAATAAATAAATAAATAAATAAATAAATAAATAAATAAATAGGGGTTTAACCCATCACACCACCAGGAGCTCTGCAACCTTTTGTATTGTATCCATATTTACTTGAACCTTTTCCTGCATGCCCCCCCCCCCCCCAAGGTACCATTTTTATATATTCAATGTATGGAACCCTCAGTATAATCATCTGGAGTCCTTTAAAAGTTAAGGGTGATTTCATCTATGACTGATTTATTTCAATATTTGGCACTCCATGGTATCAGTCAAATTCCTCTCCAGCACCACATTTCAAATGAATTAATTGAGCCGAATTAGATTTTTAAAAATAAAATACATAAATATGAATGCAAAGTCTATTCTAATATATTTTGTACTGACTTTCTCCTGGTGACTCTCAGGCTTTTGACGTGGTGGAACGGAGCTTCTTAGAGTCTATTGATGATGCTTTGGCAGAGAAGGCCAGCCTACAATCCCAATTGCCAGAGGTAAGCCCTCAATTTTCTTCAAGAAATATTACTGAATTTGGGGAGCAGTAACTTCATTTTCTTCCTGGAGGGAAGCATATATGAAGTTCAGAATCTTCAGTGGATTCAAAATAAGGAGGAAAAGAAGTGTGTGTCTGTGTACTTTATCAAAGGCTTTATTCACTGAGATATACCGGCACTAAAGAACAATGATCGTGTGTGTGTGTGTGTGTGTGTGTGTAGTATACTCCACAAAGTTTTTCAGCTTATTTCCATACCCTGTGTTCTAGGGGGTCCCCCATCACCAGCTTCCCTCTCAGTATCAGAAAATCTTAGAGCGGTTGAAAGCTGTAGAAAAAGAAATCTCTGGAGGAGCCATGGCTATTGTGGCAGTCATCCTGAACAACAAACTCTATATCGCCAATGTAGGTGAGTTCACTGTCAGCATTTCTGTTAACAAGTGCTGCTCTGAACAAAGAAGATAGAGCCTTTGGATTATTTCCATCTTTTTTGTATGGGAGAATGAAGTTCCTTCTTCGGGAGCCATTGGGGTCTGCTTGAAATAATGCAATCCTCAACAAAAAGTGGGGGAGAGATGGAACTGTCACAAACATGTATTGTTGAAGGCTTTCATGGCCAGAATCACTGGGTTGTTGTAGGTTTTCGGGCTATATGGCCATGTTCCAGAAACATTCTCTCTTGACGTTTCGCCTGCATCTATGGCAGGCATCCCCAAAGGACCTCACGACCTCTGAGGATGCCTGTCATAGATGCAGGTGAAACCTCAGGAGAGAATGGCCATGTATCCATCGGTAATTGGTGGGTTGCTCTGAGGACATGTGTTTGTTTTCTTGGTGCCTCCTTTGTCTCCTTTTCCATCTTTACAACATACACTCCTTCTGTGCAGGAACGAACCGTGCCCTCTTGTGCAAATCTACCGTAGATGGACTGCAAGTGACACAGCTCAACATGGATCACACCACAGAGAATGAAGACGAGCTGTTTCGCTTTTCTCAGTTGGGTGAGTGTTATGTTCCAGACACAACTGTGTTGCAATCCCAGAGGGCTGATGGGCCCCAACCCCACAGCTGAGCCACGAGAGGAGATGCTGCTAGATCAGGGCTGTTAGGAATTGTGGGTGTTGAAGTCCAAAACACCTGGAGGACCGAAGTTTGTTGAAGCATGTGCTAGAGCATATGGTGGTTCTGTGATTGCCAGCAACAAGCCAGGGTGCTTAAATTAGTAAGTTATAATCTTCTCACTGTAGTGGGTACATTGCCAAACATCACATTAAGAAACAACCCATAATTAAAAGTAGTGTTATATAGAAATGACTCATAATTGACAGGCTAAAATGCCATTTTTAATTTATGTTTTCTTATATATAGCCAGCACTATTTCCAGCAACAAAGGACAAGTAGCTTTGACAAATACATGATCAAAGCAATTCCAGTTAGACACCCCCCCCCCCCTCATATTTGCTGGAGTTGCAGACACAGAACCCCCATCAAAATGGAATAACTGCAAATTAAAAAAAAAATACCCTGACAAAACCTCTCTAGGAACATCTAGATCAAATATGGGCAAACTTCAGCCCTCCAGGTGTTAGGAATTGTGGCAACTGCAGTCCAAAACACCTGGAGGGCTGAAATTTGACTGGTCTAGATCCTTAGCGGGAATTGACAGGAGGCCAGAGACATTGCTAGGAACAATAGTTTAATCAAATCGATGAATTATCAAATCCACAAAAGCCAAAACCATTAATGTGGAGGGTTTAAAAACATTTTATGTTGGAAGAAATCCAGCCATCAGATAACTTTCTGCTTAATTTTGAGCACACTATGGCTTCCCAAGATCATCATAGTTGGCAATCACTTGTATTCAAGTATGTTTGCCTCCCAAGTGTAGAGTCTATAGGTGACTGTAGATACCTTTTCTTTCCCTTCATGTTCTTCTGCAGTGAGGACATTGATTTCCAAGTGGAAGGTGGTCCTGGTCAGGGTTGGCTTCATGCGCTTTTCTCTTGACATGTTTCTACTTTTTGCTCTCCATTTGTGTCTCTTCAAATTCCACAGCACTGTTGGTCACAGCTGACATCCAGTTAAACACTCAAGGGCCAGAGCTTCCCAGCACTCTGGAAAAAAGGAGTTCCAAACTTGGAGGCATAGAAAAGTGACCAGCCAGAGTGCCATTCATGTGCATACCCTTCTAGTTTGAATTATGCACATAGAGGTTCCTATAAGGAGTCTGTGCTCTGCTGAAATTGCAAGAAATTTGAGTAGTCGAGTGCAATGTAGTATCCCAAAGCTATGTTGGTCAGGGATGGTGGGATCTGCATTGCAACAAGATTAGGGTTGGCTGGAAGTTCTCTGCCTTCAAGTCACAAAAGAAGGCAAGAAGATTTTGCCTTCAAAGCTGTAGCCCAATTGTGTGTATTTGGAAAATAAAAAGGGGAATGTTTGAAGGACAAATTGTGACAACAGGTGATTCCCCCTCCCTCCTTGGGAGTGACACCTTTTCACCAGCTAGCAAGTCTTTGTTATTTCAGGTGCAGGGAGGGAAAACATGGTCACCTCATTTCTCACTTAATCAACCTTCATCTCTTGCTTGACTCTTCTGAGCAGCAGTGAGCTCCACGAGAAATGGAATTCGGTTTTTCATTCTTTGCTTGACACAGTTCAGTTGACATTTGGCAGGCGACATTTACATTCTGATAAAGGTTGTTTGGTGCTGGTATTGGGAAAGCCCAAGCTGTGCAGGCTGGCATGCATAGAGGCCTTGTTTTTACCAGTCACAGCAGGTCACCCAGAGGCCACTGAATGGTACAGTTCAACCTGTCAGGATGCCTGCCGTAATGACTGAGGTAAATTAGCCTTGTTCTGTTCCTGCTGAGGAAACATTGCAACATAGGAAGCTGATTTCTTCTGAGCCACTTTGTTGATTCATTGATAGCCAGCACTATCCTCTCTGACCAATGTGTTACCATATCACTTCCTACCTGATCCTTTCAGATGAATTATGTTGAGGATTGAGCATTAGATCTTGTAATCAGAACTTTTATATTCTTGGACCACAGTCTCCAGAATCTGCCATTGAAAAATGCATTTGAATACAGAACAGAGCTTTTTCCAATATCTGTTCTGTTTTCAAAAGTATTTAGTACTATTTGGTTCTTCATAGCGTTTGGATTTTTGAGTCTGTTGTAGTTGGTAGTTTAGGTTAGAATCCAGTAAATGGGGACTGTCAGCCTGGATTCAGATTAGAAGTCATTGTAATAGTTTATATCAAAACAGTTTCTTGACGGGGTTACATTCCCCCTGAAGGCGCAGGTTCACAGCTTGGGAGTGATCCTGGACTCATCACTGAGCCTGGAACCCCAGGTCTCAGCGGTGGCAGCTGGTGCACAGTTAAAACCTGTGCACCAGCTGCGCCCATACCTTGGGAAGCCTGACTTGGCCACGGTGGTCCATGCTCTTGTTACATCCCGAATAGACTACTGCAACGCACTCTACGTGGGGTTGCCTCTGAAGACTGCCTGGTCCAACGTTCCAACGTTCGACAGCCAGGCTGCTCACTGGGGCTGGGTACAGGGAGCGCACAATGCCCTTATTATGCCAGCTCCACTGGCTGCCTATCAGCTTCCGAGCACAATTCAAAGTGCTGCCTTTGGCCTATAAAGCCCTTAACAGTTCTGGCCCAGTTTACTTGTCCGAACGTATCTCCCACTATGATCCACCTAGGGCCTTAAGATCATCTGAGGAAACCCTGCTCATTGTCCCCCCCATTGTCACAATCGTGTCTGGTGGGAACAAGGGACAGGGCCTTTTCTGTGGTGGCCCCCTGGCTGTGGAACTCCCTCCTGAGTGAAATTAGATCTGCTGCATCCCTCTTGACCTTCCGGAAACAAGTAAAATCCTGGCTATGGATCAGGCCTTTGGGGAATAGGCTGACCAACTGACGTGTTGACTTATTTAGAACTGACGGACTGCCCTTGGATAATGATTTAAATCGGTGACCACTGACTATTTGTTGTCTGTTTTTATATTGATTTTATATTGTTTATACAGTTTTATATTGTTATAATTACATTGCTGTTAATTGTATATTTATGTTTTGATGTGGGCGCCATGGGGTGCCACTTTGTTAGCCGTCCTGAGTCCCTCTGCAGTGGTTGAGAAAGGATGGGATATAAAAGCCCCAAATAAATAAATAAATAAATAAATAAATATTTCCCAAATTGAATTGTTTTCAATTCAACCACGCTCAAGGGAGTGAAACTAACTTGTCCCGTTGCTGTCTTTTATACCCACTGCTGGAAGCCTGGCAGGTCACCCCTAAGTTCTGCTGATTCTTTGTTTTGAAATCATTAGTGCTGTCCAAAAATCCTTATATCAAACAGTGTTTGAAGGCAGATGTTTCCTATAAACACTGTTGGAATTCTCTGAGTGCCGAACAATAGAAAGATCCGCCTGGGAAATCACTTACATTGATTTTCAGCCTAGGAAAACACTTGCGTTTTTGCACAGTGTTTGTTTTGAAAACAGAAATCCTGCATGCGGAAAGCGCTACACTGAATTTGGGTGGGAGCAATTTAAATTCATTTCTCACCATTGATGCAGAACATCTGATTTTGCTCAGGTGGTTGTGCCCATGGCTAACCTGCATTTCAAGTGAAGGTTGTTTAGGTTGCTGTAAAGTTGGGATAAAATGAGATCAAGCTGTAATAAAACTAGCTCAGAGCTCTTGGAATTGGCTAGAAGGATTAATCTGTGAATTCACTGACGCAAATTGTGGTCAGACTGCTATGTAAAAATGATTTGCAGGTGATTAAAACGTATTATGAAGGGCTGTATGAGTAGAAATGGACCAAACTTGCAGTTGTGCCTAAAATACTGAATCACCCATTTGAAAAAAAAATCCCCCTACTTTGAGCTGGTTTACAATCGAATAGGGTTCAGCATTCATTTCTAATCAGTCTTCCTTACGTTTGAGTTCTGCTGTCTCCTATATCCCTTCTCAAAGTTATTTTGTTTTTCTTGGCATGGGAAGTAGAGAATACTGTCAGGAGAAAAGAATGGCACCTCATCTCTGTTTCTCTGTTTAACTTTCTCAAGAAGCAAAACATTTAATTGTTTTTACCTCTAGGAGAGCTTCGGAGGAGTGACATACTCTGAGCATGTCACTCCTCCAAAACCCACTGCGGTGGCGCAGTGGGTTAAACCCCTGTGCTGGCAGGACTGAACACCGACAGGTTGCAGGTTCGAATCTGGGGAGAGGCGAATGAGCTCCCTCTATCAGCTCCAGCTCCTCATGCGGGGACATGAGAGAAGCCCCCCACAAGGATGATAAAAACATCAAATCATCTGGGAATCCCCTGGGCAATGTCCTTGCAGACGACCAACTCTCTCACACCAGAAGCGACTTGCAGTTTCTCAAGTCGCTCCTGACACGACATTTTTTTTTTGCTGTAGTTTATATAATCAGTGTGTATGTGCCTTCAAGACAACTATCAACTTGGCAACACTGAATTCATAATATTTTCTTAGGCAAGGAATACTGGCAGTCCCCAAGTTATGAACAAGATGGGTTCTGTAGGTTTGTTCTTAAGTTGAATTTGGAACAGGTACATTTTTCACACGTAACTCCATCCATACATCTGTCTGTCTTTCTGTCTCCTTCTCTCCAAGCCTTGAATAGTACAGGGAAAGGTGAACACTCCTGTGATGTTTGTTTTGTTGACTATGCCCCTGTTCTGAAGATTTCACCTCACTTTCTGTCCCTGTGATAATTGGATTTTGAAAAATTTAGCTTGTTGTGGAAACAAGGACTGGTGATAGCTTCAATGGAAGCATATTTTCCCATGATAACTTTTTCAGGGGTGAATTTCCCTTTCGAATGGTAGATTTCTCCCAATTTCTGTTGTCTCACCCCCATTCTTAACTATGAGTCATTTGTAAGTCAAATGTTTGTAACTTGGGGACTGCATGAACTCAGATGTGGTTTTGCCAGTTCCTTCCTCTGAAATATAGCACATAACACCTAGTATTCATTGATGGTCTCCTGTCTGATTACTACCCAGGACTGACCCTGCATCTTTTCCTCAGATTAGACAGGATCTGGTGCCTTGAGGGCAGTGGTTCTCAAAGTGTGCTCCCTGTGGCCCTTGGGGCTCCGTAAAGCATACTAAGGGGCTCCGCAGTTTCCTTTTCTACCCTCCTCCCCTTCTCCAAGCTTTATTTCCTGCTTCTCCCCCTCCCCCACCTCCCTTGCCACCAAAAGCTTTTTTCTCCTGCTCCCCTAGCTTCCCAAAACCCTTCCCCCCTCACCTTCTTGCTTCCAAAATCCTATTTCCCTCCCACCGTTCAAGGGGTGCTTTGATTGTGCTTTTCCTGCTTGGTAGAAGGCAGTTGAACTGGATAGCCCCTGGGATTTCTGTTATTATTAATGTTGTTATTATTGTTGTTGTTGTTGTTGTTATTATTATTAGTAGTAGTAGTATAAAGGCTGTGTGGCCATCTGTTTGGAGTACTTGGCTGTGCTTTTCTGCACAGTTCTGCACAGTTGAGCTGGATGGGTCATGGGATTTCTGCTATTATTATTATTATTACTACTACTACTATTATTACAAAGGCCATCTGTTTGGGGTGCTTTGGCTGTGCTTTTCCTGCTTGGCAGAAGGCAGTTTAACGGGATGGCCCCTGGGATTTCTGTTGTTGCTGTTGTTGTTGGTAGTAGTAGTACAAAGGTTGTGTGGCCATCTGTTTGGAGTACTTGGCTGGATGGGCCATGGGATTTCTGCTATTATTATTACTACTACTACTACTACTTCTACTTCTGCTATTATTATTACAAGGGTAGGTGACCATCGGTTTGGGGTACTTTGGCTGTGCTTTTCCTGCTTGGCAGAAGGCAGTTTAACTGGATGGCCCCTGGGATTTCTATTATTATTATTATTATTATTATTATTATTAGTAGTAGTAGTAGTAGTAGTAGTAGTACAAAGGCTGTGTGGCCATCTGTTTGGAGTACATGGCTGGATGGGCCATGGGATTTCTGCTATTATTATTATTATTATTACTACTACTACTGCTACTATTATTACAAAGGCTAGGTGACCATCTGTTTGGGGTGCTTTGGCTGTGCATTTCCTGCATGGCAGAATAGGTTTGGACTGGATGGCCACTGGGGTCTTCCACTGAAATACTGTTAAATTAAGTTGGTCAAAATGTTTGCCCATGTCTGATAATATATAAACATTTTTAGTATCTGTCCTCTAGAGGGCAGTCTTCTGAGGCCTCTGTTATTAAATGGTTGTGCTATAATTGATTTGACAAGTTATTTGGCTGTTTGTTTCTCTGATCAAGTCAACAGTTTTCTGCTCTGGGTTTTGTTGATTAAGAGACCCCAAATGCGTTTTGTGGGATTAGTGCTTACATAAAGACTAAAAATCAGATAAATGTGTTGAATATTAAAGAAAAAACAGTAGCACAACACGTTTTATTATGATCAGCTGAAAATGATTAATTGCCAGCATTTGTTTTCATATGGTAGGTCTTATGTTTTTTTCCCCCCAGAAATTGATATTAATTTTTAAAGAAATATGTAGGGAAGTTTTGAAATATGGAATAGTTCTAAAATGAAAAAAAAAAAAAAAACCCAACAGGATCAACACATTGGCTGTGACATAACTCAGCTTTCCTAACTCAGCTTTTCCTAATTACTATTCCCATTATTCTCAGCCAGAATGAGCATTGGTTTTCTGGCTCAGTTAAATGTGCATTGTAGTTCAATAGAGCTAGAGGATGCCAGGCTGGGGGCGGGGGGGGGGGCGGGGAGTGGGTAATAATAATAATAATAATAATAATAAGTACTAGTATTAGTTTTAGTAGTAATACTATAAACAGAGATATGTGCACACACCCGCAGGAGCAGCATGGTGTAGTGTGCAGAGCATTGGTCTATAATTCAGGAGGCCAGGGTTTGAATCCCCACTTGGCCATGGAAACCCATGGGGTGATCCTTGGCAAGTCTCACTTTCATCCTGAGAGGAAGGCAAAATCCCTTCAGCAAATCTTGCTTTGAAAATCTTGCAATAGGGTTGCCTTAGAGTTGCCTTATGCTGGAAATGACTTAAAGGGACACAACAATACAAAATGGGTGCAATTTTTTTTTTAAAAAAAAACAAGTTTGCCAACTGTGAATAACATTTCATGGGTCTGGTGACGTAGACCTTAGTTCCTGAATGATTGTTCTTTTCCTAGTTAACTAATTCAGTTCTTTCAAATGAAGATCGAATCTAGCAGTGAAGCCTAATGGGACAAAGAAGGAATGCCCAAGTGTGTATTCCTTCTGATGAATGAAAAACTAGTCTCTTATCAATACACTACTTATTGATATCTGTTGTAGTTCAGCACATGGTTGTGGCTGATATCAATGTAAATGGGAAAGTGGATCATGGGAGCTCTCTGCCTGCAAGCCAACATGAGATTTTAAGTCCTGAAAATGATCAGTCTGTGTCTTCAAGAGTTAGTGAAGGTCACATTCCAGAGAGGTGTCGAGAAGAGTCATTTTGTAGGAAAACGAATTCAGAGGCTAAAATCCCAGGTGGAGAGAATAATGAGTTGAAAAATAATGAGCTGGTTGATAAGAGACTCAGTTTTAGTAACCTTAGTGTTGCCCAAGAGAATCTCCAAAGGTCACAGCGCTTGTTAGATAAGAGACCCATATCAGGAAGTCATGGGAGAAGGCATGATTTCATGTGTATACGGCTCCGGTCCAACGTACCTTTCCAAATGTATCTCCTTCTACATCCCACCTCGTAGCTTAAGATCTTCTGGGGAGGATTTTGGAGTACTCTTGTACCTTGAACTTTGTAGACTATTTTATATGTATAGACTTTGAAGTTTTTGCTATTTTTGCTACAGTGCTTTTTATATAATCTTTAATGAACTGCTTTGCTGATTTAACTTGGACTGGTGTGTGGTGGTTAAGTACAGAGGTGTTTCCTGGCTCGGAGTGCAACAGTATCTTTCTGCATTAGTTTCCCTTTGTCTAATTAGTTGGGGATTTTTTTGTTTTGTTTTGACATGGAAAAATGAGACATCTAGCATGTGCACTAAAGTAGGTGGTATTTTTCTTGACAGGCTTGGATGCAGCAAAATTGAAGCAAGTGGGCACTATATGTGGGCAGGAGAGTACCCGGCGCATTGGGGATTATAAGGTTAAATATGGCTACAGTGACATTGAACTTCTAAGGTGAGGCAAGAACCTCTACATCTTTTTGTAGCTTCTCTTTTTTCCTTGAGGATGTGAGTCCCTTATCTGTTATTTTGACCAATAGTAACTTTTTCTTTTTTCCTTTTATTTTGGAAGTGCTGCAAAATCCAAGCCAGTTATAGCAGAACCTGAAATCCACCGAGGCCAGCCACTGGATGGAGTCACAGGCTTTCTTGTTCTGATGTCAGAAGGACTCTACAAAGCGCTGGAAGCAGCTCATGGGCCTGGGCAAGCCAATCAGGTTGGAACTCCAGAGCAGTTCTTAATTCCCTTTTTGCATTGCGTGATTTTTTTTTCCAAATAATTTGTATCTGTAGGTTATGATTTTAGATATATGGACCAATTAGATCCACAGTCTGTTTATGCTCCCAGTGCTCATTATCTGAGTTGCCTTCGGGCTGATATGGGCAGGATACAAATGCTATAAATAAATAAATAATCTCCACTGATTGCCTGTGGAGATGAACAAATTCAACAGCCACATGTTCACAAAATCTAGATTGGATGAGAAGGCAGAAGAGTTGACAGAGCTTCCCCTTTCCAAGAAGCTATACTATTTCCCCAGATTAAGCATTTCCTCCACTCCTTCCCCAACCCTGGAGCATTTTTGACCTGTTGGATCAGATCCTGACATTGGAATCTGTCACAATAATAGCTATTGTATCCTTGTCTTAGTTTCCACTGATCTAATAGGGAGAGAATGAAGCAAGGAAAGTTATTTTTAATTCTAATTTTTCAACAGCAACAGAAAGAAAAATAGGTTTTAAGCTGGTTACTATTGCAAGTCTCCCCTTTCCTTTGCTAATGAAAGCCAATGGAAAGGCTGCTTGTTTATAGGAGTGCTGAGAATGATTTTTCCCTGCTTCACCAGAAAATTTCTTTCAAACTGCCTGATAAAGCAGTGTTGGCTTTCACTTCTAGGGTTCCCCTGTAGATTTTATTTATTTATTTATATAATTTCTTTATAGCATTTTTAATCTATTCCTTACCTGAAAGCGTTCTTGGGGGAGCTTGAATAAAATCAGTTAAGAAAGATTGATCCTACCTGCAGGGCAACAGTCTTTTAAAAAGCCAGAACACACACAAAGAAAAGGGGTGGAGAGGAAAGACCATAGTGAGGAGCCAAAAAAGCTCTTTCATTATATTGAGTGGAGCAGCCTTCATTCTTATTCAATCTCTCTATTATGTCCTCAGGAAGGTTATTTAAACTGTATTGTCGAAGGCTTTCATGGCTGGAATCACTGGGTTGTTGTAGGGTTTTTTGGGCGATATGGCCATGTTCTAGAGGCATTTTCTCCTGACGTTTCGCCTGCATCTATGGCAAGCATCCTCACTACCTCTGAGGATGCTTACCATAGATGCAGGCATAACATCAGGAGAGAATGCCTCTAGAACATGGCCATATAGCCCGAAAAAACCTACAACAACCCAGTTATTTAAACTAATAGAATTAGAAGAGACCACGAGGGCCATCCAGTCCAACCSTCTGCCATTCATGAAAACACAYTCAAAGCAGCTTTGACAAATGACCATCCAGTCTRTGTTTACAAACCTCCAGATAAGAAGACTCCTCCACTTTGRYATACAGCCAAACAGTTCTTACTGTCAGGAAGTTCTTTAATACATAGGTGAATTTTCCCCCTACAGTTTGAATTCCTTAATATTTGCCCTAGTCTCCAGAGCAGCAGAAAACAAGCTTGCCCTTAGATCAGTGGTTCTCAATCTTTTATATATCTGATATGCAGGATGTATTTTCATTCACTGGACCAAATTTGGCACAAATACCCCATATGCCCAAATTTGAATAATGGTGGGGTTAAAAGGGGATTGATTTTGTCATTTGGGAGTTGTAGTTGCTGGGATTTATAGTTACCTTACAATCAAAGAGCATTCTGAACTCCACCAATGATTGAATTGAACCAAACTTGACACACAGAACTCCCGACCAACAGAAAATACTGGAAGGGTTTGGTGGGCATTGACCTAAGGTTTTGGAGTCACCTACATCCAGAGAGCACTGTGGTCTCAAACAATGATGGATCTGGACCAAACTTGGCACGGATACGTAATATGCCCAAATGTGAACACTGGTGGAGTTTGGGGGAAATAGACCTTGACATTTGGTAGTTGCTGGGATTTATAGTTCACCTACAATCAAAGAGCATTCTGAACCCCACCAACGATATAATTGGGCCAAACCTACCACACAGAACCCCCATGTGGGCCACAGCAACACATGGCAGGGGACGGTCTTTGTGACCCTCTGTGGACACCCTTCCCCCCCCCCCCCCCCCCGCCCCCTCAGGATCCCGACCCCTAGGTTGAGAAACGCTGCCTTAGATCCTCTTCAGATATTTTCCTAGCTTTTTAGAAGTTCAGTCTGTGCAGCTTCTGCATAGCTGTGATACTCTTTAAAGAGCCCATTCATGTAGCCATGGCCTGATTGTGCACTACTTTTCCTTGGAGTTAGTCAGAAGCATTTTGCATACTTCTTTTGAGGTATCACTTTCATGGTTGGGAGCTTCCTAGCCAGCCCGGTCATTGAAGTTTTACTCCAGCTGCAGAGGAACAACAACTATTACATGGCTGGGAGAAGGACCACACATTATTCTGAACGACAGTTCTCAGATCCTTTCTCAACCATTTTCCAGGAAATTGCAGCCATGATTGCCACAGAGTTTGCTAAACAAACCTCACTAGATGCTGTGGCTCAAGCAGTTGTGGATCGAGTCAAGCGCATTCACTGTGACACATATGCCAGCGGTGGCGAACGGTCCAAGTTCTGCTCCCGGCACGAGGACATGACTCTGCTGGTGAGGAATTTTGGGTACCCGCTGGGTGAGATGAGCCAGCCCACTCTCACCCCAACGCAAGGTATGCGGGAGGTAAAAGAGTATGTCTGTGTCAGAGAAAACGTGAGTGGGAGGGAGAAAAAGAGAAAATATGTGTGTGAAGGGAGAAAGAGGCTTGAGTACATAGACCAAAAAATACTACAGAGAAGCGAAAACAAAGAATAGGCTTATTTATACTCCCCTCTCTCACTAATCGGTTTATGCAAACATTGATGCTTCCTTGCTTCCAACAAGCATTGGGAGGGGGGAGCAGGATTGAGAGCCAAACTATGTCTGAAAGATAATGTTCTATAGTTTGAAAGCAAGGCAGTAGGGCATCAGCAGACAAAGTCCAGCCCTGGGAGTGAATACAACCCCTGCAAGGCTTTTCTTGCAACGTTCAGCCTTTCTGAACTTGCTGTACTGCCAAGGGAGAATTGCCCTGGCTTGCAGCTTCTGTGAGTAGTAATTCATCTTGAATAAGCTGCAGGACTCTTTACTCTTTGCACTCTTAACAGAGAAAATATGCTTCCTTCAAAACCAGAAGTGGACTTCCAGACATTTATTTTTGGTTCCCCCCCCCCTCCGCTTTCCTTTTTTGGCTCATGCGATCTCTAGAGGCTTCCAGGAACAAATATCTCTAGATACACTGCAGTTAGCTGTCCTTGCACTAGCAGCTCCAGATAGTCTTAGGGTCATGTAGCACTCTATAGATGATTTGGATTTCTAGCTGACATGATAAGGGACTGTAGGGGTCCTATTCTAAAGCTTCTGGAGAGCCAAATGTGTCCCTCTTCCTGTGTAAGCCTTCCTTATTGGTTTTCAGGATTATTGTGGATAGCAGTGGCAATGATAATGTGTCATATGTATGAGGAACTGTGGGGTGGAGCTGAGCCCTTCAGCCACCTTTGTGTCAGTGTCATTTTATTTTGCATCTTCAGGTGGTCGTGTTTATCCTGTATCGGTGCCATACTCCAGTGCCCAAAGTACAAGCAAGACCAGCGTAACACTATCCCTTGTCATGCCTTCCCAAGGTCAAATGGTCAATGGTGCTCATAGCAGCTCCACGTTGGATGAAGCCACACCCACCCTCACTAAGTAAGTGTCCCTTGCGGAAACTGTGTGCCATCTTGGCCTTGTTTACTTTTATGGCTGGCATTTGAGAAGCAGCACTTCATTTCTCTACAGCTCCATATTATCATTGCCTTCTCAATTTTGCATAGAGAGTAGCTTAAATTTTGTAGCTTAGGTTTGGTACGTCAATGTGATTATTGCTTGCATAGTTCTGTGCCACCGTAGCAGTTTCTAAACAGTGTGACTTTTGCTTATTCCAACATGGGATAGTTCAGATATTTTGAGGTTGTTCCGGATTATTTCTGGTAAACAAAGAACTTCACCGGGGGGGGGGGGGGGGGGGGGGGGGGGAAAGGGCAGCCTTCATCCTCCACAGTGAATTAGTAGATCCTGGTGTATAACATGCATGATCCGATATGTCCAGCATTGTATCCCAACTGCCTGTGCAATGGTGTAAGGAATCCCATCTTACATCTTCATCTCTTAACCACCTTGTAGGAAGCACTTGAGAAGCACTGCCAAAAGTATGCTTTCCCAAAGGATATTGGGAAAATTTCTCCATGTGGCTCTGAAATTGCCTATCCCTGAATCAGACAATTCTCACCCTTTGTCATTGAAGATTCAAGAGGAATTGTGAACTTTGTGCAAAGCACACACTTCACCTCAGAGCTACTGCCACGCTTCAAATCAGGAGTTCAAAAATGGGCGGTGAAATTTGGGAGTTAAGTGGGTGCAGGAAACATGCTGTGAAGTTGACTCCCCCTGCCCCCCTTTGAGATGAAGCAAAACTAAACTAAACACTAAGGTTGCTTAAAGTTGATTTAAGATGGTATCTTGGCAGTTCAATAAAATAGGTCAGAGTATTGTGGTTCTCTGTTTCGTCATGTCAGGAGACAAGAAAAAAACATACAAAAATGTACAGTTCTTATATTATGATTGTTATGTGCCTTTAAGTATTTCTGACTTACAGTGACCTTAACATTGGCTTGACATAGAGTTTTCTTATCAAAATTTATTTAAAGAATGAATGTTTTTGCCTTCCTCTGAGGTTGAAGTAATGTGATTGTCCAAAGTGACCCTGTGCGTTCCATAGCAAACCAGGAATTTGAACCCTGGTCCCCATACTCATGGCCTAATGCTTAAGCCACTACATCACACCAACTTTCAGAGTTTTTACATAACGGTAGATAAATTATCTATCCATCTATTTGCACATATGTATGTCATATCTTCCTCTCTGTTGATGTTTTCTGCTAAAACCTGCTCCAGGGTTTATAAATAAGTACAAGTGGGTTGGAATACAGAAAACCATGAAAATAAATAGTTTTATATGTACACAGAGAGAAAACAGTAGCAGAAAATTCCAGTTCCTTGCCAGCCACTTATATTTTCCTATGCCATATCCATTTATTTCCTCCTCTCTCTGCACAGTTGTGTCCTATAAACTCTTGTAAGGTAAAGGTGAAGATTTACCCTGACATTAAGTCTAGTCATGTCCGACTCTGAGGGGTGGTGCTCATCTCCGTTTCTAAGCCAAAGAACTGGCATTGTCCGTAGACACCTCCAAGGTCACGTGGCCAGTATGACTGCATGGAGTGCCGTTACTTTCCCGCAGAAGTGGTACCTATTGATCTATTCACATATTCATGTTTTCAAACTACTAGGTTGGCAGAAGCTAGGGCTAACAGCGGAAGCTCACCCCTTTCCCCAGATTCAAATCACCAACTTTTCAATCAGCAAGTTCAGCAGCTCAGCGGTTTAACCCGCTACGCCATCAGGGGACCCCAGTCCAAATTTATATCCCAGTCCAAATTTGAGAGGTATTAACCCAAGTTGGGAGTCAGGATGGAGTGATCTCCAAAGAGAACATTTTCTCACCAACATAACATTACTAGAAAGGCCCTTGATAAAGGAAATCTCAGGAAAAGGTTTTCAGCAGTTTTGATATGCAAAGAGGAGTGTTATTTGAGTAAATTGAATTAAACATGTGACTGTTTTTCTCCCCCCCCCCCCCCCCTTGGTCATAACACAGTCAAAGCCCAACAGTGACCCTCCAGTCTACCAATACTCACACCCAGAGCAGCAGCTCAAGCTCAGATGGGGGCCTCTTCCGCTCCCGTCCCTCTCATTCTCTCCAACCAGATGAAGATGGGCGGGTTGAGCCCTACGTGGACTTTGCTGAATTCTACCGCCTCTGGAACATGGACCACAGTGAGCAAGGGGCACTGGCTGTGTAACAAACACAGAGAGACCAATCAGGTGGAGGAGATGGTGCCTGGTGCGGCAGAAACAGTTCATCACCTGGCTAGCTGCATTCTGCCATAATGCATACTCTCTTTTGCGGAAATGTGGCTAATGTTTGGATAGGTTACGGATACAGTTTTGCTTCTCATCTTACCAAGCATGTTACCCTTTTCTGTGGGCATTAGAGAGGGTTGTGGACCTTTCCCGCATCAGGAATCAGGGCTGTGTTGCAGAAAGACAACAGCCACAATGGCCCATTAAGGATTGAACATTATGAGTGCGCATGGCTGTTCCAAGGTTGCAGTCTGGAAATACAGCATCAAGGTAATGATGTTTTCAGTCCATGGAAGATACCTCTTATTTTGCAGAATAAACAGTAACTTATAGGTGCTCCTCTTGCCTTTTTTGATGAAGGAAATATTAGAACTGAAATAAACCTCAGAGCATATTAAATCCTCAGCAAACTGGTGCCAGTTATCTTGAAACTCATGAAACAGTCACGTTGTGAGAGAATAGGAGAAATACAGATCTACTCAAGCAGGTGTCTATTAGAGGTATCATTTCCAAGACAGGTGCAATCTGAAATCAAGCCTTTCAGCACTTTTTTTGGTAGCCACTTGTCCCCAGCTATAGTGTGCCTCATTATGCCTAATTTTTCATGAGTGGGGGAGAGAGAGACAGGAAGTCTGAGTGCAGCTTGGAAATTAATCTAACCTATGCTCTGCCTTCTAGCTGGCTTGCTAAAGGACTTCCCCTCTATTCCTTTGAAGATAAAACATTCAAAAGATACATAAACAAGCGGTTGGAGAGCATGTTCGCTGTTACTTATTTCTTTGGTTACTGGGCCTCCACCTCCAACCAGTTACTGCCTTTGTAGCAAATAGTAGGTCAACAACATCTGTCCTGTTCTACAAATGTACAATTGAGAACCAGGACATGTTCTTTGTGGATGACATTTTTGTTGGAAAAAGTAGGCACTTCTCATAAATGTACAGCAGAGTAAATTAGCAGCAGCAGCAGCGTGACCCAGCACCAGTAGTCAAAACTGATAAAAAGAATGAAAACACACACACTAATGTTATCTCTTCCATATGAGGCTTTTCTTTATAGCAAAATAATATGGTTTAAGCTTTCCATAACACAAACAAGCATATATAGTAGCTTTACACGCAGCAGCCTTCACACTGGAGCTTTCTCACACAAGGCTTTTCTCACACAGAGGTTTACCTCACATTCCTACACTAACTTTGGCCCGCTAACTAACAGTCTTCGGCCTAATTCTCCTCAGGACGACAACTTTGGCCAACTGACTAACAGGCTTCGGCGTACACACTCTTTAAGGGCTTGACTCACACCTTTGTAATCAAAAACACCCAGTTAATTTTTAATATTTCTGATAATTTTGAGAACATTAAGTAGCAAATACTTAGCATTTGTCTTGTGAGGTTGAAGAAAGAATGCTTAGTATTTGTGTGTCAACAATCTGCCTAGTTCTGTGGTAGGCCAAGGTGGATTTTACATGAGATAAACAAGGATAAGGACAAGGACATCATCTTCACATATTCCTCCCAAGATGGCTGCACAATTTAGAGCCTATTGAAACCTTTGAGGATTGATGAGAATGGACATGGTATGGACTATTGATTGATTTAATTTATATCCTGCCTTTCTCTCAAATGTATGTGAATTAAAAATAATAAAAGGTTAAATGTACTACTATATTAAAATTCATTACTTTAAAACAATCCAAAATCATTTAAAACTAGGCACATGCCACCATTACAGATATTTCCACATAGCCACTTAGTTTCCAAATGCATCTAAATAAAGAGTTTTTAGTGTAAGAAGAGTAGGAAGCAGGCCTGCCTAATCTCTAGTGGCAGAGAGTTCCATAGCCTAGGAGCCTGTCTCTTCATCAAATGAAGCTATGGATGTTGGTGCGACGGAGAAAAAGCCAGTTGCCTAAGGATCTTAAAATGAAAACACAGGTGAGCTTATATGGAGATGTACAGTTTTTGAAAGAGTAAGCCTTACTTTGAATTGTGTCTGGATATGAACATCGTCTAAGGCAAAGACAAACATATAACAGTGGACCACCCATTTTTGTCTTTCAGTCTGGTTCCTTTATGGCATCAATGAAATTCCCAAATGTTTTCTTGACTTTGACATCTTTTATTTGAAATTAGTATCCTTGGATGATCACCTATAGCTGAGTAAAATAATCCTTCAGTGCAACCCAGTAATACTTCCTTAGTTTCCTTAGTTCAGCCTTCCTCAACCTGATGCTCTCCTGATCTTGTTTGTTTCCAGCTCTCATCAATCCAAACCAACATGGCTAAAGGCTGGGAATTATCAAAGTTGAATGTCAGAACATCTAGAAGGCTCCAATTTACCTTAGCTGAATTTTGACCTGAAAACCTAAAGAACTTGGGAGATAAGCACTTGGAGATAGGTTAGAAATGAACAACTGTGGGCCTCTTTTTTAAATAATAGTATTACTAGAGATGAGAACAAGGTGTGATGTACTTTTCCAATAATGTTAGCCTAAAAGCTAAGGGGGTTGACATTTACACTGTTAACCGGAGGGCTAGGTAGTTAGAGGAGAGAAGAAAAATGCTGGCATAACACCTTGATATTCAGTCAACCTCATTTTGTGAGGTAGTGTTCATGAAAAAACATTAGTCCTGGCTAGAACAATGCATAATTCATAGCCAATTATTTCTCCTAATGGCACCAAGCCTTGAAACCACCATCCTTCATCCATAAAATCTGCTGATGTTAGCTCTGTGGGGAGTTGGAAGCATCTCAAGGCTGGCAATAAATGTAATACATATAAAAATGACTGGGAGCTTGTGTTTGGGGCTGATAAAGTTTAGTATGAAGTTCTGGATCTTGTTTTGGAAATGTTTCCTTGGAATCATGCATTTAAGGGATTTCTATGGTGCCTTTAAGTGGCACTTTGAGGGCAACTTTACAAAAACAGGTTGATCAGGCAGCATCCAGGTGGCAAGCATAGACTGAATGAAAAGCCACATGAGAGATTGCACCAATAACGATTGTCAAGATTTGAAGCGGGTTCTCTCCAACATCAAACTAGTCAGAGGGTACTGGGAGGATGGGGCAGCAGTGGGGCTCTGCCATAGATGGAGAAATGACTTCAGATGGCAAGTCCCATCTACAAGGGTTACAGCTAGTTAGTAGCCAGCTGCATTAAATCACTACTGACCAAGAGGTCATGATTTCAAAGCCAGCCTGGGTTGGAGTAAGCTCCCGAACCATTAGTAGTCTTGCTTGCTGTCTACTTATACAGCCCGAAATACAGTTGCATCTGTCAAGTAGGAAATATAGGTACCGCTTTATGTGGGGAGGCTAATTTAACTAATTTATGACATCATAAAACTTTCCAGCAGTGTGCACAAGAATGAGGAAATACTCCATCAAAGGACTCGGTGTCACAAGTGGACGGTGAAGTGGCAGCTCACCCTGTGGCCAGAATCGAGCATACTCTCATGAAGATGAAAAACCTGGAATGTTAAATTGCTTCTGTGTCTGTCTATATATTGTATGTCTAAATGGCATTGAATGTTTGCCATCTATATGTGCCCTGTAATCTGCCCTGAGTCCCCTGCAGGGTGAGAAGAGTGGAATATAAATACTATAATAAATAAAGTTACAAGGCATGTAGCTCTCGTGGGGAATTTTCTCGGCAGAAGTTGGTATCACTGTTGGGTAGCAGGAAGCCAGCGGAAGCAAATGAGCAGTGCCAGTCGTCAGTAGTTCATCAGCTGGCGTGGTGAAGGATTGAGATGAGTGTCCTCAATCGGTTTCCCTCCAAGTGCGAAGTTCATACTGTAATACTCTACCTAAATGCTAAGGGCATGAACGCTGCTGCAATTCATTGCGAAATAATTTCAGTTTATGGAGAGGACGTAATGTCAAGAGAGCATGTGACAAAATGGGTAAATAATATATTGTGAGACCATGAAGGAACTTCACAGAGCCATCCAAAACAAACGCCGTGGGATGCTGACAGTGGGAGTTTGTTTCCTTCATGACTATGCGTGTCCACACACTGCTCATGCAACACAAGAATTGTTGAATTCATTTAGTTAGGATGTTTTAAGCCAGCCCTTACACAGCCCCCATCTCACACCCAGTGACTATCATCTGTTGACTAAATTTAAGGAAGACATTGATGGAAAACACTTTCTGACGACAATGAGGTGAAAATCGAAGTGACGAACTGGCTGAAAAACGTGGAGGGAAACGTCTATGACACAGGCATCAAAAACTTGTCCCATGATTGACAAAATGTATTGAACTAAATGGGGAGTATATGGAAAAATAATGTAATACCTATGCTACAACCCATGTAAGTTTTATTAAAATATATTCATTTTTGTTTTGTTTTTTAAAAAAATCTTGTAACCTTCTGGATAACCCTTGTAAATAGAGAACTTTATTGTGTAGGAAATAAATAGTGTTTCTATACTACACCGTGAACTGGTTCCAGCATCCTACGCAGTTTTGGGACCTATCTGTCATTTACGTTTCCTGAGTAAAACAGTGATGTCATTAAACATGATACATTAAGTATCATAGTTGCAGAGATTATGCTTAAAAATCTAACTCTTGAGAAATATATACATGAGTTTTGAAGGCGGTTTTCTCAACAGTCCTCTTTTTGAGATTGGAACGTTGCACAACAGAAATAAAATACTATACATAATCCTATAAAAAGAATATAAAATGTTACACACGTAGAACCACCCAAATTTGGCTTCATCCCAGCAAGACACTGCAAGATAGCCCAAACAGGAAGGTCTTGCAAATGTTTCATCTTTGGCAAGTCTCCAGAGGAAGGAAGTTCTGATGTTATAAGGCAGTTGTCCAGACCATCCTTCTCTGTGTCTGACTCTTAAAGGATGTGACAGCCACGGGGCTTCTGCTGTTGAGCAGTCTTAATGGTAGTAGGAGATGCAGGGCTCACGACAGGGATTAGATCAGCTACCCACGGGCATCCCATTTTGTAGGCACATCAGGCAAAATCTGCTTCCAAAGCCAGACTCGCATCCCTCAGTGCAGTGTGGTGGTTAACGCAAGTGACAACTGGTGGTTTCCATATCTGCTTTCAGGGAATCCACTGCTAAATTTAAAGATTCTATCCAAGGTGTTGAACTTGATGCCCAAATTGGAGTCAGTGCCATGGGTAGCTCCATTAAAGTTCATGCTAATGCCAAGAGTAGGTTCATTGCTGCACTAGTTATAGTGACAGTGGAAAATTGTGTGGATGGTGGGACATATTTTTCATTCCCATGCCTTATTTTTATTGTGTGTGCCAGGAGTGATATGAGAAACTGAAAGTTGCTTCTGGTGTGAGAGAATTGGCTGTCTGCAAGGACATTGCCCAAGGAACGCCCGGATGTTTTACCATCCTGTAGGAGGCTTCTCTCACGTCCCCGCA